AAACAAAAAAAAAAAACAAAAACTACTTATTTGTTACGATTTTCCACAAATATTTTAGGGTGAAAAGTCAATATTTATGAAAAATTAATTTGGTTAGAATATTTATCTTGACAAAAAAATAATCAATATGAATCACGACAAATTACATATATAGTTAATTATAATAGATATCGATGAAATTACTGTGGATCTTAATAAAATTATTCAAGGAAAGAATCTTTTATCATATCTGGTTTGACTTTATTAAGAATTATGTGTATGCAAGCAATTAATGCATATATTTAAAAAAAAAATCAAAGAAAGTATGCATTATATGCTTCCTGATTTTTTTGGCTACTATTTTTAGTAATTTTTTTTATATAGATATAGATATAGATTGAATATATATAATACAAAATGATATACTTATGTTTATTTCCTTAATTATTACAACACCCGCGAACTAAATGAGTATATAGTTTTATTTGATATTTTTAATTTAGTTTGATAAATAATTTTAAATTTTATTTATAAGGATATATATCAAGGTTTTGTATTTTATATAATATGGATGTCAAATCGAAAATCAACTAAATATAATTAATTTAAAAATTATAAAATTTTAAAAACAAGAAGAAGAAACATTTATTCTAATTGATGTACCAATTAAATAAGATGTTGGAATGTAATATATGGTAATTTAGGGAAAAGAATGTAAAATAGTTTATGGTAACTAATTATAGAAGAAAATATAAATCAGTTATGAATTTAATATAAATAATATAAACATTAAATGAAATTCAAGACTAATTATTTTTACATAAAAAAACATTAATTTATATCCAAGCTTGAACCCGAAACATGATTTTTTTGTTACATAAGATTCTGAAATATAATTTTTTACCACAGAGGATTACTCCTCTACGAAGAATGAGAGTTTGTCACTTAATCTCAACACATTTGGTAGTTATATATAAAGGTGATTGTGACATTTTCATTAAAAATAAACATATTCATAAAAAGTTATACCTACTTGATTAATGGTTGGTTGGATCAAGTGTACGTTTAAAAGCTAGTGTAGTTTGCAAACTATTGCATTAAACTTAGAACATACTCTCTCCTATTCATAATAAGTGTCGTTTTGAAAAATTGCACAGTTATTAAGAATACTTTTTTTGCCAATATTAACCCTCATTAATGAAGATATAGATGAATGTTTTGAGAAAAGATGAATAGTGAATATGAAAAGACGTAGTGTATTTATTAACTAGATGAGGGTAATATTGGAAAAATATGTACAAAATATCCAAAACGACATTTATTTTGTTAATAGTTGACAATGCCAAAATGACATTTAAAAAGAATTGGAGGTAGTAATAATTAACTTGCCAGTTGCGCCTTACAATTATTTTAACATTTATTGAGAAATGAGGTGTTAATTAGATTAGACATTCTTGTGGGTCCCATAGGGTGACCTCTCACAAAATTGCTCAAACCGAACTTTGTCCTTATCCTCTAAGAGCATCCACAATACTTTGGGTCACTTTTTGCATATGTGGCAAATAAATAGACTTAAGTCCATAATGACATAGACAAACCCAAGCTAAAAAATCTAAAATCTATCCAATGCAAAACAAAAAGTATTAGGTCTAGAATACTAAACAACCAATAAAAATATAGTAATAATAAATGCATACAAAAAAAATGTGTTTTGCCTATTAAAAAGAAAAAGAAAATTGTGAACAATTAATGACTAGGTGGGTTTGCACTTGGGTCCAAAATAAACCCAAGTGTGGACTTAGTCTCTTTTTTTATTGCCGTATAAGTTAGACTAGGTCCACTTTTAATTGCATTGTGAAACATTTTTTTATAGACTAGGTCTATTTCTTACATGGCATGTGATTTTTTTCTAAGAGAACCAAAACATTGTGGGTTCTCTAATGGATGGATCTATTTAAGAACTTCCCTAAGCTTTAATTTATTTATTTATTTATTTGATATTTCAGTACAATAAATCCGCAACTCTCAACCTTTCCTCGTGGAAAATATTAAGGGGTGTATTAGTTTAAAACATTTAAGTACTTGTAAAGACTTCTTAGGATACCAACAGATGTTGACTCAAGTGGTAGACAATTTGATTCCGCTTAAGTAAGGTTTTAGGTTCGAATCCTTATAGATGCAGTCGGTGTATATTTTGGATACTGTGGTTGGCTATAACAAGAAAAAAGAAAGACTTATTATGATTTGTGAAATCTTAGTGCAATTAAATGAGACTTTTTATTTAAAAATATAGTAAAAAATGCATTCAACTAATTTTAGAAAGAAACAAAGAGATAGGAATTAAAGATTAAATTAAAAAAAAAAAACATGTCAATATAAAAGTTTTTCTTTATTTTCTCAGTTGACAAAGTTCACATGTGGGGGACTATCAGTGGGAATGAGATAGGCTCATGTACTTGGGGATGCATACTCGGCTGCAGAGTGCATCAACACGTGGGGCAAGATCATGGCCAATCACAAAGTGCCGGTGCATCTCAACGATGCAATCATCCAATCACGGCCTTCAACATCAGCATCCTTGTACGGGTCCGTTAAACAGCTGGACCCCGTCGGAGACAACTGGTCGATTACGAACAACTCCAAAATGCAAGAACACACCTTCCACATAACAGAGGAAAGACTAAAGAAGCTGGTGTCGGAAGAGAAGAAGAGCAAGTACGGCCAGAACGAGTGAGATTCCGATTATCACCGTGTGCAAAAAAGAGCGACAAAATATTTGACCTCACGAACATATATACAGTCAGAGCTACCTAGCAACACTCGTTTGGGATGGTGATTATCTCGAGTTAGCGAAATATATTTCCGAGGAGTTTGTGGACGAGACGAATGCGGTGGAGGGACGAATGGAAGAAGGGAGTGGGATGCTCGATTTCGTGGTGTACAGGTTGAACGTCACGTTCGTGGAGTGGGAGAACATGAATGTGTGGGGGTTGGAGGTGAACGGGCGGGGACCCGTTTTTGCGGACTTGAGCATTGACGGGGCGGGTGACGAAGGGGCTGTAGTGGTGGCGGCCCGAAATGGAGGTGGGAGAAGCATGAACGTGATTTTGGCCGAGGACAGATTAGGGCAACTGAAGAATGAGCTTGTGGAGTACGGTATACTGTAATGAAATCTCTGATTAACACAAATGGGTTATTTTTTTTTTTCGTGCAAAATAAGGAAATGGGTGGTGGTTAAAGAAATTCCGGTGTTGTAAGCAGTGTTTTAAGTACCGTACCGGTAGCCATACCGGTCTAGCCACTGGTACGCGGTATTACCGGCGGACCGATAATATCGATGGTATTACCGGATTAGCAAATATAATGATATATATAAATATACATGAAAATATATAATACCAAATACAAAAGACTAGAAAAATAAATGACTTTGGCCTTTCCTTCTCGGAAATAAATGAAACTCAATAGCGTCCAGTGTGGGCTTGCTTCGCATAGGCTTGATGTAATTGACCTAGGAGGTTTGGAGTAGATAGTTTTGGTTCTCTAGTCAGGGCAGGTTTCAAACTTGAACCAGGTCCAGCCTTTGGGAGTTCATGTCCAAATGCTTGCGAGAAAAGATAAAACGTATCAACTACCAATATAAATTTTATTTTTTTAAATTAAAAAATTTTAATTTTTTTTAATTTCTTTTTTTGTTGGCCGGTATTTTGCGGTTTTTACGGTAAGATCCTGGTACAAACCGTTATAACCGTAAATCTAGTATTTTGAGTGTAATTGTACTGTACCAATGGCCGGTACCTGGTATTACCGGTATTACCAGCCGGTACGGTACGGTATTTAAAACATTGGTTGTAAGACGTTGTTGTGTGTGCATTATTGCATTTGTTTTGGAGGCTTTTCCAGAATTGAGGCTATTTGGGTCTGTGTAGAATTTGAATTGGGATACATTTTTTTTTTTAACTATAGAAATCACATATATTCACAACATAGAAACAAGACCAGAGAACAACTACTCAGACGAATAAAACAACCAACATTTTGGTTTGCAACCCACATTTTACATTTGGTAACTCAAATTTTAGTGCTAAATTTAACAGTTTCGATCACTTTTCAATAAAGTTCCATTGAAATTAATGGGTGGGAGAAATAATAGTAGAACTTGCCGCAAAATTGAAAATTGATGAGAAAAAATAGCTGGAAAAATATTCAAAAAAACACTTATGCACATTGAATAAAGAGCATTTCCCACTAATTCTCTAAGCATATTTACAAATTTTGTTTCAGTCCTTTAATTTTTTTCCCCCTATTGCACTACTTAAGTTTATCACTTAACCCCTGATTATAAAAATAAAGCATAAATAAATTTAAAAAATCACATGACCCCACTACAACATTATTTTATTATTGTTATTTTTATTTATTATACCCGTTGAGTTCAATGAAGAACGTCGTCAATATATACACCTGAATCTACTTAAAATAAAATCTAATGCACTAGAATTTATAGTTATGATTAGACCCTACAGTTTAAAATTTTTGACGACTCTGAGACATTTCTGGTTTTGTTGTTCGTGATCGTCTGAACCTCATAGTCTATTAGAAAAATGGACTTGACCTCCTCATCGTGTGTCCAGTTTCTCGTCAGGCTTGTACGACCATCTCGGACCTCTGATGGGTTAGTTGGATGTTCGGGACTCGCCGTGGGGTCATCTGGACTCCTGGACCGAGCTGGGCTAGTTTGGAACAGCTCTGGGTCGGGCTGGACCGGACTAGACCTGGTCTGGACGAGGGTGGTGCTCTGGTGTCGAGGAATGAC